TATGGAAAGCTTTCAAAAATTCTGGAAAGCTGTCAGCTTTGCTGGGAAGTAGTTGGATCTTCTAGGAAAATTTTTAGAATTTCTAGAGAAGTTCTGATGATAGGATTTTTTGGAAAGTTCTTGGAGTTTCTGGGAAGTTATCGGATCTGCTAGAAAGTTCGAGGGTCTCCTGGGGGTTCCCGAGACTTTTGTGAAATTTCCAGAACTTCTGAGTAGTTACCGGAACTTCTAGAAAGTGCTCTAATATTTTTGGAACTTTTGAGAAATTCTCCGGTATTCTGGGAAATTCCCAAATCTTCTAAAAGGCTCTCGGAATTTCTGGAAATCTTCCGGAAATTCTGGAAAGCTTTCGGAACTGATGGGAAGTTCTCGGAATTTGTGCGAAGTTGTTGAATCTTCTGAAAAGTTTATGGAACTTCTGGGAAGCTCTTCGAATTTGTGGGTAATTTTCGGAATTTTTACTAAATGCGCGGATGTTTTTTTGGAAGATCTCAGATCTTCTGATAAATTCTCGGAATTCTGGAAAGCTCTCAGAATTGCTGGGAAGTACTTGGATCTTCTAGAAAGTTTCTTAAAATTTCAAAGAAGATCTGATTATAGGATTTTTTGGAAAATTCTAGGAATTTCTGGGAAGTTATCGAATCTACTAGGAAATTCAAGGGTCTCCTGGAAAACTTTCGGAATTTATGGGACGTTCCGAGATCTAGAAGATCTAGATCTAGTAGTACTTGGCATTTGTGAGAAGTCACAGAACCTCTGGAAAGTTGTTGGATCTTCTGAGAAGTTCTAAAAACGTATGTGAAGTTCCCATAACTTCTGAGAAGTTACCGGAACTTCTAGAAAGTTCTCTAATATTTTGGAATTTTGGAGAAGTTCTCCGATATTCTGGGAAATTCGCAAATCTTCTAAGAGGTTCTCGAATATTCTGGAAATCTTCCGGAAATTCTGGAAAACTTTCGGAACTGATGGGAAGTTCTCGGAATTTCGGTAAAGTTCTTGAATTTTTGGGTAATTTTCGGAATTTGTTGTAAATGCGCGGATTTTTTGGGGAAGATCTCAGATCTTCTGAGAAATTCTCGGAATTCTGGAAAGCTCTCAGAATTTCTGGGAAATACTTGGATCTTCTAGAGAGTTTGTATAATTTCAGAGAAGAGTTCTAGGAATTTCTGGGAAGTTATCTAGTAGTACTTGGCATTTGTGAGAAGTACACAGAACTTCTGGGAAGTTGTTAGATCTTCTGAAAAGTTCTAAAAATGTATGCGGAGTTCCAAGATGTTCTGAGTAGTTACCGGAACTTCTAGAAAGTTCTCTAATATTTTTTGGAATTTTTGAGAAATTCTCCGATATTCTGGGAAATTTGCAAATCTTCTAAGAGGTTCTTGGAATTTCTGGCGATATTCCGGAAATTCTGGAAAGCTTACGATTGAAAGTTCTCGAAGTTTCTGCGAAGTTATTGAATCTTCTGAAAAGTTTATAGAACTTCTGAGAAGCTCTCCGAATTTTTGGGTAAATTTCGGAATTTGTTGTAAATGACCGTTTTTTTTTGGAAGATCTCAGATCTTCTGAGAAAATCACGGAATTCCAGAAAGCTCTCAGAGTTGCTGGGAAGTATTTGATCTTCTAGGAAGTTTTTATAATTTCGGAGAAGTTCTGATTATAGGGTTTTTCGGAAATTTCTAGGAACTTTTGGGGAGTTATCGAATCTTCTAGGAAATTCGAGGGTCTCCTGGGAAACTGTCGGAATTTCTGGGACGTTCCGAGATGTAGAAGATTTAGATCTAGTAGTACTTGGAATTTGTGAGAAGTATACAGAACTTTTGGAAAGGTGTTGGATCTTCTGAGAAGTTCTAAAAATTTATGGGAAGTTCCAAGATGTTCTGAGTATTTACCGAAACTTCAGGAATGTTCTCTAATATTTTTGGAATTTTTGAGAAATTCTCCGATATTCTGGGAAAACCGCAAATCTTCTAAAAGGTTCTCGGAACTTCTGGAAAGCTTTCGGAACTGATGGGAAGTTCTCGGAATTTCTGCGAAGTTCTTGAATATTCTGAAAAAATTATGGAACTTCTGGGAAGCTCATCCAATTTTTAGGTAATGTTCGGAATTTGTTGTTAATGCGCGGAGACATTCTCGGAATTCTAAAAAGCTCTCAAATTTGCTGGGAAGTACTTGGATCTTCTAGGAAGTTCTAGGAATTTCTGGGAAGTTATCGGATTTGCTTCTGTGCAGTTCCCAGAACTTCTGAGTAGTCACCGGAACTTCTGGAAAGTTCTCTAATATTTTTGGAATTTTTGAGAAGTTCTCCGATATTCTGGGAAATTTGTAAATCTTCTTAAAGGTTCTCGGAATTTCTGGCAATCTTCCGGAAATTCTGGAAAGCTTTCGAAACTGATGGGAAGTTCTCAGAATTTCCGCGAAGTTCTTGAATCTTCTGAAAAGTTTATGGAACTTCTGGGAAGCTCTCCGAATTTTTGGTTAATTTTCGGAATTTTTTGTAAATGCGCGGTTTTTTTTTTGGGTAGATCTCTGATCTCTTAGAAATTCTCGGAATTCTGGAAAGCTCTCAGCATTGCTGGGAAGTACTTGATCTTCTAGGAAGTTTGATATTTTCATAGAAGTTCTGATTATAGGGTTTTTCGTAAAGTTCTAGGAATTTCTGTGAAGTTATCGAATCTGCTAGGAAATTCGAGGGTCTCCTGGATAACTCTCGGAATTTTTGGGACGTTCTGAGATCTAGAAGATCTAGATCTAGTAGTACTTGGCATTTGTGAAAAGTACACAGGGCTTCTGGGAAGTTGTTACTTCTTCTGTGAAGCTCTCGAAGTTGATGGGAAGTTCCCGGAACTTCTGAGTAGTTGCGGAACTTCTGGAAAGCTCTCTAATATTTCTGGCAAGCTTTCGGAAAGTCTGGAAAGCTCGCGGAACTGATGCGATATTCTCCCATCTTCTGGAAAAGTTCTAGGAATTTCTGCGAAGTTCTTGAATCTTCTGAAAAGTTTTTTGGAACTTCTGGAAAGCTCTTAGAATTTTTGGGGAGGTTTCGGGATTTATTGTAAGTGCACGGATTTTTTTTTTATTGAAGTTCTCCTATCTTCTGAGAAATTTTCTGAATTTATGGGTAGCTCTCGAAAATTCTGGAAAGCTCTAACAATTGTTGGGACGTACTTAGATCTTCTATGAAGTTTTGGAATTTCTGAGGAATTCTGACATCTTTTGGGGAGGTTCTCGGATCTGCTAGGAAGTTCTACAGTCTCCTGGGAAACTCTCGGAATTTCTGGGACGTCCTGATATCTAGAAGATCTAGATCTAGTAGTACTTGGAATTTGTGAGAAGTACACAGAACTTCTGGGAAGTTGTTGGATCTTCTGAGAAGTTCTAAAAATTGATGGGATGTTCCCAGAACTTCTGAGTACTTGACGGAACTTCTGGAAAGTTCTTTAATATATTTGGAATTTTGGAGAAGTTCTCAGATATTGTGGAAAATTCGCAAATCTTCTAAGAGGTTCTCGGAATTTCTGGAACGCTCTCGAAACTGATGGGAAGTTTTTGAATTTTTTGGGAAGTTGTCGCATCTTCTGGCGTAGTTCTCAGAATTGCTGGGAAGTACTTGGATCTTCTTGCAAGTTTTTAGAATTTAAGAGAAGTTCTGATTATAGGATTTTTGGGAAAGTTCTAGGAAATTCTGGGAAGTTATCGGATCTGCTAGAAAGTTCCAGTATCTCCTGGGACGTTCCGAGATCTAGAAGATCTAGATCTAGTAGTACATGGAATTTGTGAAAAGTACATATCACTTATCGAAAGTTATTGGATCTTCTGTGAAGTTCTAGAAATTTCTGGAAAGTTCCCGGATTTTTTCTGCAGTTTTCAGAACTTCTGAGCAGTTACCAGAATTTCTGGAAAGTTCTCTTATTTTTTTTTTGAATTTCTGAGAAGTTCTTAGATCTTCTGGGAAATTTGCAAACCTTCGAAGAGGTTGTCGGAATTTCTGGAAAGCTCTTGAAACTGACGGGAAGTTCTCGCATCTTCTGGAAAAGTTCTCCGAATTTCTGCGGAGTTCTTCAATCTTCCGAAAAGAGTATGGAACTTCTGGAAAGCTCTCGGAATTTTCGGGAAGCTTTCGGAATTTGTTGTAAATGCATAGATTTTGTTTTTGGAAAGATCTCAGACTCTCGGAACTTATGGGAAGCTCTCGAAAATTCTGGAAAGCTATGGAAGACCTTCTAGGAAGTTTTTCGAATTTCTGAAAGTTGTTGTTTGATCTTCTGTGAAGTTTTCGAAATTTATGGGAAATCCCCGGAACTTCTGAGTAGTTACCAGAACTTCTGGAAAGTTCTCTATTTTTTACCTTTTGAGAACTTTTAGGACTTTCTGGGTTCTAGGATTTTTAGAAAAGATCTCGGAAATTGTGAGATCTCTCGAAAATTCTGATAACTTCTCGGAATTTTCGAGAAATTTTCGATTTTTTTTTGAACTTTTATCATTTTCTAGGAAGTTCTCGGAATTTGTATGAAGTACTTCTGGGACGGTCCGAGAAATATTTAACTATTCCTAGGTTTTCAAGGAAGTTCAGAGAACACCTTGACTATTCTTAGATGATCAGCGGAGTTTCGAGAGTTTCTTTTCTTGCCTTGATCTTCAGAGAATTTTTGAAAAAATAAGAAAAGTTCCGTGAGCTTCAGGGAAGTACCGTATAGTTGAGGAATGTTAAGAAAACTTCAGGGTCGTTCACGGAACTCTTAAAGTGTTCAAATGCGACCAAGATTTTCAAAGATCTTAAATGTAGGTTTTTAAAAAAGTCAATCAAACCAGAACGCAACAGTTGCCATATTAAAATTTCGGTCTAAACCATCAGCGTCTAGTAGGACGAAAAATTTTCTACGAAGGAATGAAGCAAATGTGCTTCTTATGCAAAGAAGTTAATACAACTGTTCCAGTACAAAACTAAAAAAAAAAACAAACACCACTCACCTTGTCCCGCCTTTCTCTCTCCCCTCCATTAGGCATTCATCATCGCGTTCTCGTCCAACTTCATCCCCCGGCTGGTGTACATGTACGTCGTCAGCGCGGACAAAACCGACCGAGGTTACCTGAACCACACCCTGGCGTACTTCAACGTGAGCGACTTCGAGCCCGGTGCCGCACCGATCGCGTCCAAATTCGACAACGTCACCATCTGTCGCTACCACGAGTACCGGAATCCGCCGGGAGCCGACCGTCCCTACAAGCGTCCTCTGATCTACTGGCACATCCTGGCGATCCGGCTGGCCTTCGTCGTCATCTACCAGAACGTGGTCAGTTTCGTGCAGATCGTGGTGGCATGGGCCATCCCGGACACGCCCGGCCGTCTACAGGATCAGATCAAACGGGAACAGTATATGACCAACGAGTTCATCATCCAGCAGGAGAAGCAGAAGACGCGGCAACGGAAGTGCGGTGACACGCTGAAACGACGAAACGGATCGTTGGTTAAACGGCAGAGCAGCCTGGACGAGTACGGCACCACGGTTAGCCTGACGGAAGACGAAGGCTGCGACGATGAGAATTTCGTCCGGAGAAGGCCCGCCCCGAATGGAGGAACGAACGACCCATTCAATCACAGCCGCTTCCAGGAGTGCGAGATTGTCACGTCGCGGGTTTAGCAGTTACCTAGAATAAGTTGAACTTTTCTATTTTCGAACTATCTACAAAACACAACAGAAGAAGAGGACCTACTGATATGCCTTTTTCATTATTTTGATGTCGTGTCGTTTCGTTTTGCGAAGCTTTACCACTTGGAAGAAGGAATGCCAATTTCGCGCAAAACCCGAACTATATTACCTAGTGTTAGGAAGAACAATTTTATAAGGATAAACAAAATCATACTGCATGAACAAACAAAGGAGCAAACATACAAACAGCACTTATTTATTACTAGGAAAAGCCAACCAATAAATAATATTTTCAATTTTACATTCTCGAAATGCTGCTTGTGGCTTGTGGACTATTTTCCTAGAGTTAAAGAAATCTGATCCCACTTCCTCGGGCATGCAGTCACGTTTTTTCAGCGCTTAATGGTAATTTAATCCAACCACCGATCGATCTGGAACTGGAACTCAGTAAAGTGACATTGCTTTGATTGAGATTGTCAATTGATTTCAGTTGACTGTTTCATCTCGGTACGGTTGGAGGTGAATTGGATAGTTGAAGGGAGTTTTTCTGTTAACAAGTCATGTCGTCAAAACGAATCCGGCATATTTTGGAGCTCACGGTCCAGGAGCGTAAGGAGTTTATCGAATCCTTCGATTGTGTTATTTGCGATTGTGATGGTAAGTGGTTGCCTCCGAATTCTGACAATCGTATGTATAGGGGAAAGAGGGACAAGAGTGCCAACCCCCATATAATGTTGATGATAAACACATCTGCAATGCTAGCTCACCCAGTTCTGTCCAAAATGAAGCCTTACTAAAATAGCAACGAATCGGTTTGGTACTGATGGGTCGAAAATCGAAATTATTTATAATAATTAGACATTGGATTTTTGAATTTCAAATTGTTTTATCCTGCATTGCCTGCATTGAGGAGTAGTGATTAATTGAAACACTAACAACAAAGAATACGTAAACAATAACAGCTGTTGCTGGCATGATTGATTATCAAAAAGCTGTGTTGATAAACAAGCATTAATCGATTTTGCTCCATTTAAGACGCATGGCACTCTTGGTCCATAGCTGTTTCAAAAAAAGATTTGAGACGACATTTTGAAAAAAATTGTCAACAACTTATGGCCAGATTAAATTTGCATTACATTGATGATTTATGAAGGCTATGTAACGAACTTACAATACGGTTTACAAACTCTTATAAATATCCACCATTTGGCATGTATAGATCGTACCAGACCCTACTTAAGCGCCGGCAGATGTGAGAATTCTGATCTAAGCGGACATCTACACTGCCGGTGGACGCATAACTGTCCCATGTTACAAAACACAAAACTGAGAAAACTGCGATTAAAGTTTGAAAACACTTTTTGCCGTTGTCGTGAAATTTCGCTGTAAATTTCTGTTCTATTTCTTAAAACTGTCGAAATTTAACTGTTCCATACACAACTCAACAAAATTTTACCAAAAAAACTATTTTTTTTCGATAAAAAATCTTCTGGGACACTTATGCCGCGAATTTTCCTGATGAGTCGAAAAATGTACGCATATTTGTCCCACTGTGAACAATTTCTCGGTTGCTGTTGTTGTTACGTTTGACACTTCGTGCGAGTCGGGTGTGTTTTCTTTTTTATAGTGCTGATTTTTAGTGTCATCAGAAGCTATCAGAAGAACCGGAACTGGAAATGTCTGGCTTGGAATATTTGAAACAGTACGGTGGTTCCAGTGAGAGTGAAGAAGAATTCCATGGGTTTGACCTGGAAAACGGCACGGGTGAACGATTTCCGCAAGCATCACAGTCGGTAAACACTGAGGTCAATCAATCAGTTTCCAGCCAAACTGGTTGCTGCGATGAAAATTTTGAAGCCGGAACAAGCGCCGAAAAAAGCAGATCCGAAAGAGAAACAACAACAAACTTGGAGCGGCCGGATTGCAACACCGCTAGTCGATCCTGTGATTCGGACAGCTCTTGCAGTTTTTCCGAGCAACAGCCAGAGAGAAGTTACAGGAAAAAAACTAAAAAAGAACGGAAAAAGGAAGATTCGGCTAAAAAACGACGCAAATCGCATGCGATAATTCTGGAAACTTGTGGTTGCCTCAAAAATTGCAACACTAAGTTCACGAGAGATGACAGGCTACAGTTCCATAAGTCTTTTTGGGATCTGGATAACGTCGGCCAAGGAAATCTAATCAGGCAGTATGCTCATCTAACACCTGTCGGACGGCGCCGAAAACGTAATGCGAAGGATTTGGCCAAACAACTTGCGTACAAATACACTATACCCAGCTCAAGTGGTGACCCCGTAAAAGTGTGTAGGAAGTTTTTCTTGAACACTCTTGGATTTGGCGAACATTGTGGGTATGTATTAGAAAACATTCTTAATGCTGTATGCAGGCTTTATTATATGCAAAAAATAGCAATATAATTTACAGATGCGTTCGAGGAGCTCAAGATGGACCTCGAGAATACCGACGTGGGAAATATAGTAGAAATAAGCATGCACGCGAGGCCATCAAGGAACACGTTTTTGGCTATGGTCCATCAATCTCCCATTATCGGAGAGCGCATGCTCCGAACCGCCTGTATTTGCCTTCCGATTTGACTGAGAAGTCTCTGCACAAGAACTATGAAGCCACGCAGGATGTCAAAGTAAGTTATTCGCTGTATTGCAAGGTTGTAAGACAATGCAATATATCATTTGTACGGCTTGGGCATGAGCAATGCGAGACGTGTGTTGCTGCAGAACTGCATAAGAAAGTCGCTGAGCATTCGGAAGCAAAGGATTGTACCTGCTGCTCGGAGCACGAACTTCATATCAAGCGTGCTTCCGAATCGCGAATGGCATATCGTGCAGATGGCGACTCAACATCACCAAACGAGGTGGTATTTTCAGTAGATCTACAAAAAGTAAGTGATTGGAATTACATTATGGTATGTGACATTATGTGTAAGATATGCATATGTTTTCTAGGTCATTCAACTTCCTCGACTGGATGGATTCAAGAGTGTTATCTTTTCATCAAGGCTTTTGGTCTTTAACGAGACCTTTGCCCCAGTCGGCGCATATGCACGATCATTTCCGGTGTCTGCGTGTATTTGGCCCGAGTCGATCAGTGGCCGCACAGCCAACGACATGCTCAGTTGCTTTTACAAAGTAATTAAGAAGTACGCACACCTGAAGAAGATTACGTTTTGGTTGGACAATTGTTCATCACAGAACAAGAATTGGAATTTGTTCCAACACATCATCCTCTTGATAAACAGTAATGATATTCAGGTTGACCAAATACTGTTTAAATTTTTCGAATCTGGCCACACCTTTATGGCCGCCGATTCATTTCACGGAGCGGTCGAAAACAAAATGCGTCACGAACGAGTCGTAACCTTTGAACACTTCAAATCTGTGGTTGGTTGTGCCAAGAAAAATGTTGACGTACTTGACATGGAAGTGGCTGACTTCTTCCAAGCTGAGCTAACTGTCTCACAGTACACGTTGAACTTGTGCAAGCCCCGCCCATACGTGGACACCATGCGAAAAGTGGTATTTCAAAAGGGACGTTATGAACTTGGATACGCAAGCAACATCAACAGCGAGGACCTCGTATACTGCAAACTGTTTTCCAAGAAGCAACTCCGGTTGATCGAAAAGGATACGTTCTCTCTTGAAGCTAATGTACGCTGGCAAAAGTCTCCTCGAGGAATTGAAGCGGATAGGAAGGCTTCCCTGTTGGCGGTTGTTGTACCTGTTATTACCGAAGAAGAAAAACCTTTTTTTATTGACCTTCCGACAAAGCAACAAACATCTGAATAGTAATGTAAGATTAACCGTTGTATGAATTTTTTATACTTCAAATAAATCGCATCACTTTGTTCCATCCATAGCTTTTCAATACGAGATTTTATGTCACGAAGATGTACAAATAAGCACTTAGCAGAAAGCGAATTATGTTCGCCATAGAAGAGGAGATGACAATTCTGATTTTATGATCCCTTCAACATCGGGTTAGGGAAAGTTGACTGTAGGATATTTTTACCTTTCAGGTAATCGTTTGGGACTTGTAATGTGCTTACAATATATTATTTGGCTAACAAGCTTTAAATTTGTTAAACATTTTTTTATATTTAGTTGGAATTGGTGTAGTGGGACAAATATGCGTCTATTTTCTCAATGGGACAAATATGCGTCCATTTTCTCAATGGGACAAAATGACTTCACATTTTTTCGAGCTTTTGTAGAATAAACAGTATGTTTTTATGTGATATTCGAAAAATATGCATCAAAATATGACGATTAGCATCAAAATCTCAAAAATGACGAAATGTAACATGGGACAGTTATGCGTCCACCGGCAGTACACGGCGAATGAGAACGACCCAAATTTGAGTTTAGTTCACTCGTAATCGCCAAAAGTGCAGTGCGATGAGTAAAATTTGTCTCATGTTTTTCCAGGGAAAAATTCCCGAATTTGAGAAAAGTAAAGATTGGATTCACTCAGTCTATTGGTACTACTCCGAGACTGAATAACATTTTCGTCAATTTCCTCATTTTCCGGCAGATTTTTTAGGTTTTCCACAGGAAACCATGAGACAAATTTACTCATCGCTGAGTTCCTACACTTTTGGCGATTATGAGTGAACTAAACTCAAATTTGGGTCTTTCTCATTCGCCGTGTACTCATACGATCGCGTCATACCATGAGCAAGGACACGAACCCACGTATAATTTATATTGCCTTGTTTTGCGTCTCACCTCGTTTGACAGATCTGATCGCCCGTTTGAAAGTTCGAATCGCTCGTTTGACAATTCTAATTGTGGAGAAACGAAATGCTCCTGTGGCATGTCGGTTCTTCGGTGGTATGAATTTACAAGTGACACAGATGCGTCTTTTCAACTTCAGTTCTTTTGAAATTTTAATGATTATTTACTGTTCGTAGTCCTATCAGGCCTGTTGGAGAGAATCAATGTCCTTTATATAAGGTCCGGGCCAACAGGCTTATTGGTGTTAGTGAAATGAACAAATGTTTAGTGGTGTTCGTATTTCACTGCAATGTTTATCTTTTTACACGAAACAGCTGTTGGCAGTGACGTAAATCTCACTGTTCGCAGTATGGAATGTTATGGTAGAGTGACGTCGTCACATGAGTGCTCAGCAATGTTTACAATATTTTTGCTTCTAACACCAGCAAACTGCCTGTTGACCCGGACCTGATATAAACGTCATTGGGAGAGAATGCCCTTCTTGATGGGATTGGTTTGTTTGAAATTGGAAAGAGGGGACTACTATTTACAACTACAGTCAACTTTCGCTCGTTGGGCTAAACTCGAAGCCCACTAAGTGAAAGGCTTTCGTCAGTTGAGCTGATCTGTCAAACTGAAACTTGGTTTAGAGATGCACCTATTGTTTATTATCATCAAAATTGTTTAGCAACTGTCCAACCTGTTCATCCATGAGACCCTCGAAACGGAATCAGCACTGTCAGAAATGACGTTTGACTTCGGTTTAGGTGGGCTTCAGCGAAATTCGACAGTACAACTAACCTACTATTTACAAATTGCTTATCAAAGCATGTTCTGATGTGTTGCATTTCCGCACAAACCTAGTGTTAATGTAAAAAATTTTAAAATCTAATTTTGGAACGTTGGCCTCTAGGTGGAGATTGGAAA